CCCCCCCCGGTATCGTCATGCTCGCGCACGTCGAATGTCGCGGGATCGGCGAGTTCAAAAAGAGAGAAAAAGAGAGATGCTTGTTTGGCTTTGTGGTTAATTGCGGATCGATATCGCGACATAATCGGCCGGCCGTTCGACGTTTAAGGGCCGGTTTCGCAATTCCTCCGATTAACTTAATCCGCTGATTGTTAATCAGAATTGAGCGATCACATTTTCGTCGTTAAGTTAAAGCTGGCCAGAAATAACCAATCACAGCTGACGCTTAACCGGTCGAAATTAACAGGAGGTGTCGTGAAACTGAACCCTGATTACGCGCGCGCGCGTGTTCCGCGGGGGCGATTCGGCGTGTCGGATTCCTCCGCGCGTTACCCGCATATGTGAACGACAACACGATTAGTAACCCCTCTCATCCCATTTCTCCGTGAGTCACCGATCGGCTGACGCACGCAGGCTCCACCCCCCGATTTCGTTTCCCGGTTTCTCGACTTTTCCGCGATCTCTCTTCCGTCGTTTCGTTCGGCTTCTCCTCGATACCGCGCAGGTTGTGCTCGCGACGACGGCGAGTCCTCTCTCGTTGCATCTGTCGCGCGACATGCTGGCGTGCACGTTCGTGTACGCTCTCTCTTTCTCTCTCTCACACACACACACATACGTACGTTGTGCGAAATGCCCGCGTAGAATTCCGTCGGTTTTGTAAGTTAAAGCGGAGTCTACGATAAGAATTTAAGAAACTGACCAATCACAATTGATTTTTCTTCTATAATTCGATTGTGATTGGTCAATTTTTCTAAGGCTCAGAACTTAAAGCTTCTATTGTGTAGACCGGGACTACCGGCTTGAACTTCGCTGTTTGTTTCGGGAAAGCGACGAAAATAGCGCCGTTGTTTACCGTCGGATTGTTATTTACGATGCTAAATAAAGAGAGCGGACGGTATGGGTATACGCGCGGCCGCGCACAGTTACGAAAATATCTTGATTCGCTTGAACGACTACGACTCAACCATATGAAAGACACCGGAGGCCTCATACGTCGTTTCGTTTTCTTATTTTAGGGTTACTGGAACTCGCACACAGAGAATACCAGGCGGGGGATTACGAGAATGCCGAGAGACACTGCATGCAGTTGTGGCGGCAAGAGACGAACAATACCGGCGTTCTGCTTCTGTTGTCCTCCATACACTTTCAGTGTCGCAGGCTGGATAAGTGAGTATCCCCTCCCCCCTCGACGTATATCTCGTGGTGAATTCGATCACCTGTGCTGCACCGAATTAGCGCGCAGCACATCGTAGATCGGGCTTTATTAAAGGCTGCGCACAAAGTGTCTGAAACAGTGGTGTGACATAAGCATTTTGATGATAAAGTAATTAACACGTTGAATGCCTTTAGAGCATCTCTCATTGCGCTGAGAAAGAGAAATTGACACTTTGCGAGGTAAATGTTTCTCATGACGTTTTCTTCGATATGTAACATGTATGGAAAGGCAAAAGTAAACACTATACATGTGTCCTTTCATTGGACATATGGTTTGTTTTTATATTCTGATTGGATATACAGTTGCACGCGTTGCGACTTTAGGTCCCATGGCGTCCATTTACGCTCGAAACTAGCTGGACACTTGAAATATGAAATAACTGGTTCACACATGGCAGCTTTCAGCACTCATTAATCCGATAATTCGTGCGGATGATCGAATTCGCTCTGATATAAATCCGATCCTCAATGTGTACACGTGTGTGCCTACACTTGTAAATTTATACAAACGGGCGTACGTGGATTTGAATCCCACGCTTGTATGGGCAATACGCGAAACAATGAAGGGTTACGATTGTGCGTTTCAGATCGGCGCATTATAGCAGCCTGGCGATAAAGCAAAACCCATTGCTGGCGGAGGCCTACAGCAATTTAGGCAATGTTTACAAAGAGCGCGGTCAGCTGCCGGAGGCATTGGAGAACTATCGTCACGCGGTACGGCTGAAGCCCGACTTCATCGACGGCTACATCAACCTGGCAGCGGCGCTCGTGGCAGCCGGTGACATGGAACAGGCCGTTCAAGCATATGTCACAGCACTGCAGTACAACCCCGTGAGAAAATCGGCATTATGCCCCTCCCCCTCCCCCTTATATCACGACTATCTTTTTGATCATTCCCACGTAGCGAAAAACACGAAGCGCCACCCGAAGGTTGTTTCTTGAGTTTCACGCGAGACGACAAACAAACTCTCTCGCGCTCTTCGTCACGTAATGACGAACGTCTTTNACGTCTTTGCTTTCCTTTTTTTTTTTTTTTTTTTTTTTGCGGCTATTCTCGGGTTTTCTTTTCTCCTCTCGCCGGATCTCGCGGGATCCGGGGGAGACGAGTCGTCGAGTCTCTCTTACTTACCTACTACCCAAGCGTGAGACGAGTTGTGCGGAAGTAATTGACACGTTTCGCCTGTTCCAGGACCTTTATTGCGTGCGGAGCGATCTCGGTAATCTTTTGAAAGCATTAGCAAGACTTGACGAAGCCAAGGTACGTTTTAGAACCGTCGCCATTAAGCCGGTATACTAACCAGACGCGTCACGCACATGGCCGCGAGCATCTTTGCCCCGATCAAGCTACAGACGGCGGACAAAACTTGATGAAGAACCACCAGCGAAGCATTCTGCTTCCTCGAATTAGGAATTCTCTCTCGCTACGAAAAAAAATATGTAGTCTCTTCTCAAGCCTCCACCTGGCCCCTGTTCATACCGACCTATCATCACTCTACCTGTCCAACCTCTGAAGACGCCTCGCCTCTCCCGAAATCCCCTCCCTCCGACGGGAATGAACGACGATCCCTCCCGGGAAGCGTCAAGCAGAGCGGAGAAACCGATAATGATATTTACGGGGTTACTACTACGGTGTTGCTCGGTGAGAACAAGAGACATTCCGCTGGAACTCGAGGTCTTCGTCGGCGTCTTGACGGGGTACAGATGCGTCGCGCGTATGTGCACGAGCTACAGCGCGCAGTTCTCCGCGGAATCAGCGGGCAGAACGGCGCACGTTCGAGAAGCGACGACGAGAAGCTTTCACTCCTTGCCCCGAGCAAATTTGCAAGCGCGCGACGCGCGATCGTCCGTCCGTCCTCGAGGCCAGTTCTTTCCGTGTCAGCCGAATCTCCCTTATTCGATAGCCGTCCTTCTATGGAATAAGTGAGCTAGACAAAGAACGCAAGAGAAAAAGAGAAAGAGATAAAAAGAGAGAGAGAGAGAGAGAGAGAGAGAGACGCGTGAAGCGCAGTCGCACACTCTCGATGGCGGATCAAGGATCGCGCGCGTCCCTCCACCCTGGTGAAACCGGAAACCCGACTGCGCGCTTCGCGTCGCCGGCAGAATTTCATCATCCCCTTCGGGAGCGACGTGAAGCGACGGTTCCTCTTAACCCTAAACAATATAAACCGGAACGGGGACGTTTCGATCCGTCGGCGTCTCCTGCGAGGGTCCACGGGACTTTCTCTCCGTTTGAAAGAAAGAAAAGAATCGCGACGCACGTCGAGACGATGATGACGATCGACCGAGTGTTCTTCCGTCGCGCGAATCAATTGTCGCGTTCGAGCGAATTTTCACGGTCGAGGATACTTTATAGTGTTTAGGGTTACACTGTCGAGGTGGCCGAGGAGAGGCGTTCCTTCCGGCATTGCGCGTTTTGCAGCAACACCGGGAGAGGGAAGGTGAAACACTCGAAACTTTTCTGCGAAAGGACGCGCGGTGTTGCCGCAAATTTTCAGATTGCTTGCCGGGCCCATCCGTATCACTCACGGATCCCGTTCGGTCGTCGATGGGCCCGGCAGCGCGCGAATTTTGTAGCGAATGAGCCGATCCTGTCCTCTTGGTTTGAAGATGCGCGACTCGCTGGGCTCACGACAGTGCTCACACGCGCATCGCCCCGTGCGCGTTTTTCCAGCGGTTTCATGTTGACAGAACGAAAGAGAGAGAGAAAGAGAGAGCGAGTGAGAGAGAGAAAGAGAGAAAGAAAGAAAGAATCCATGGTGTGTACGGTAACATCGGCGCGGGATCACTTGACCGTCTCCTGAACGCAATACAAGAATTGTCGTGTAGCAACATATATTTCGTCACGAGGACTTTCTGATCCTGCCGGCGCGAGACGTAGAAGAGACGCTTGATGAGACGAGTGCAACCACTTGTTGTCATCTGTTTTCCGCGTAACGTGTAATATAACCTCGAGACACTCCGCGGAGAGCCTCAGGACTCGGCGAGTTGCCCGTCGACGAACCGAGACTCGCCGTCGAGATCGGTCAAGTGGTCCGCTTCTTCAGCAGCGCGGCGCGGCGACAAGACCGACGAGAGAGCGCGTCTGTAACCAAGCGCGCCGTCTCGCGTATCCTTCGCGTCGTTCTGTCGTTCGTCGCCGGTATTTTGCGCTCATCACCGGAGTCGCCGAGATTCTATCGTCGATTTTCGCGAGTCGACCGCGATTTACAGACGCGCCCTCGCACTCGGTACTGAGAACGGACGGCAACGAGGAAAGCTTCCCGTTACAATTCCCGCTATTCCCGAGAACTGGCTGGTACGCTCGTCCCGTTTCTCGCCGAGCTCGATCAGCCATCTACTCTTATCGACCACGCGAAACGGTGTTTTTTTTTTTTGTTTTCCTTATCATTTTTCCTCCGCGTGTATCACGCTTGACGATGGTACGTTTCGAAAGAAAGAAAGAGAAAAAGAGGAGTTTGTGAGTGAGAGAGGTGGAAGGAGGTAGAGATAAACATTCCGAGCCGGATCCTTCCGCGAGGTGCGAGAAGCGGCACAACAGAGCAGCGGCAGCTGGCTGACGAGCTCGGTGGAGTATGTCGCACACCAATACGCTGGTTTTTATTAATTCTTTGTGTACACACATACACGCATACGACACATATACATACACACACGAACACATACGTGTAGAAAGAAAGTAAAGAAAAAAAAAAGAAAAGAAATTTGCAAAAAAAAAAGAAAAGAAAACATAAAAGACAAAGAGAAAGATTGAGGCGAGGAATATCAGTTGAAGAGACATTAACGCAGCTGTCTTGTTGTTGTGGATGGGATGATCAACTCTAGGAGGGGAAGTGCAGGAGCAATGTGAGATTGGTCGGTTACCGCGCCGGTTCCTTCGTCAAAGGGTGAATCTGAATCTGGTTATTCAGTAACACACTGTCTCGGTCTAAGTTTATTATGAGAGCTTGCAAGCCGTACCTACCGAGTCAGCCTACCGAAGGGTACACTGCAGGTAAAGTAATTCCCAAGGCCGGTCTCTAACGACCCCTTCCCCTCAATCAATCCCGTTCCCGGCCCTCCCCTGTGAAAAAGGGGTGAGAGTCCTACCTTTTGTGTCCCACCATTCCAGGTATAACGAAGCGAATTTACAAGAGAGAGAGAGAGTGAGAGTGAGAGAGCGAGAGAGAGGGAGGGAGAGAAAGAGAGAGAGCGAGAGAGAGAGAGAGAGAAAGAAAGAGCGAAAGTGAGAGAGAGAGAGAGAAAGAGAGACGACAGATGTGTTGAGAAAGTACATTCCTAACCATTTCTATTGTCGTGACTAGCCGGACTTTCGCGGAGCGCTCTTGCGAAGTTAGCTTCGATAATATCGCACGTCTTGGAACATTCATATTTGTCTTAATTTGCATTTTTAAATCACAAAAACTGCACGTCCGAGGTAAATCGCAGCAATCATTCATCAGCGACGAGTCGAGTCTCGGAGTATTTCCTCGATATTTCTACCGTGATTTTCCTCCTCCGCTTGCTGATCCGGCAAAGTCAAATCTGTCACAACGAACGACCTGACCGCAAAACGCGTCCGAGAAGACCGATCGATCGGCCAGTCCTCGGCTTTTTTTCCCTTCAATTCCAGGTTACCACACGCACACACACACCTCCGCAGAGACCGGCCGACTGTAAATGCCCTCTTACTTATTGTTTAGGTACGGATTACTCTGTTCGATATAAAACGCAGCCCGCCTCTCGGCACGCGCGACATGAGTACTCCCCACGCTGAATCCTTAGAGTCGTCGTTGCCGGGTTTCCCCGGAGAAGAACCCCGTGGACGTCATTCGTTCTCTCGCTGATACGTGCAACTCGAACGCGAGTTCAGAAAATGAAGTCATCCTAACAGAGAGAGAGAGAAAGCGAGTCGATTGCAATTTCTCGATACGCACGACCTTCGGCGCGCGGTCGAGCCCACAGGACGCATTCCAGGGACTCCGGCCGCGGGCCGGAAGTCGCGCGTGCCCCCTCCCCCCGCCCGCCCCAAAATGACGCCTCTAGCGCGCACCCGAACACCCTCGATCCTGGAACGGCCCCCAAGCTCCCAGCCCGAGAATGCATTGTTGAAGCTGATGACTCGCGAAACGACCCTCGCTCGTTCTGTTTCCATTCTTTGCCCTCCCCCTCTTTCTCGGTCAGCTCATCGAAGAGGCCGGCGGACCTCCAAAGCCGAGAGAGACCGAGTAGGAAGGCTTCAGCGGATCGGGTGGATTCGACTCGCACGCGGGACGGTCACGTGGTCGTGTGAAACGTCGAGCGGGACGTTGCAGAGGATGCATCTGCCGAATGTATACAGGGTGTCTCTTGAGTACTGTCCGAGGATTTCAGGAGTTGATTCTTTAGGTCATTTTGTGAAGGGAGACTCATGTGAATATATGACCCCGAAGACACCTCGTTTCAGAGCTACAGAGTGTTCCAAGAAATTCTGTTATCGTTTTTTTTTTTTTTTTTTAGACGAAAAGAGGTTTCTTCTTCAAACTGAACGTTCATCCACGTCCATGTTTCATTAATTATTTACAAAACAAAAATACTCTTGGTAGATTTCGATAAAGCTATTAATTTCAGATATATTTTGCAGAATTTTCAACACTCTGTGTCTTCGAAATGAGGCTTCGGAGACCACGTGTCCGAGTGAACTTTTCCTCGTAAAGTGACCTCAAAAGTCAACTCGTAAAATATTGGGCAATATTAAAAAAAATATCCTGTACACGCTCAACTGTTACATCGTCTCCCGCGTTTATGGCGTGTTAAAGCACGGATCGATCGTCCGAGTTTTCACACTCGCACATTTCTTGTTCCTCGTGATCTTTCACGAGCGTCTTTTCTTCTAGCGAGCCGCGGTTTCGCGACATTTAACGATCAGGATATGATTGAATTTGGCCTAATTGTTCCAGTTCCGTTTCACGGACTCACCATTCACTCTTAATGTAATTCTTGTGTGACGTTATTCCGAAAACTACGTCGTACATTATACATCACGAACTTTCGGTATGTATAGATATTTCGAAATTTCTACAAGTTTCCGACCTGTAGAAATGTGATGTAACAGAAGTACGCAGAATGTAATATACTCGAACCTCAAGAGCCGAGAAAAAGAAATTCACTCCGGGGTGTTCAGCAGGCGATCATGTCGAAAAAAGATGAATTGTGACTGTGGGTAGTCGCGAGGCTTCCACAAAGACGACGTTGACGAGAGAGTGGGCGGACGTGCAAGGAAGGGAAACAGAAAGGGCACGGGGTGGCGAGACACGTTCTTTTTTTTCGTCGAGCTTAACGAACAAGAAGCAAGAGAGAAATAAAGGAAGAGACGAGAAAACGGAAAAGTGCGTGTGAATGTGCGAGAGAGAAAGAGAGAGAGAGAGAAAGGGAGTGAGAGAGAGAGAGGGAGAGAGAGAGTGTGTGTGTGAGAAGCTGCGACGCGGCGATGGGAGGTCGGGCATAGCGCGCGGCGCGCGTCCCTTCGAGTTCGCGAATGAAGCCGCTGTAAATCACATTCTGTTTCTCTAGGCCTGCTATTTGAAGGCGATCGAGACACGGCCGGACTTTGCCGTCGCCTGGAGCAACCTCGGATGCGTGTTCAACGCACAGGGGGAGATATGGCTGGCGATACACCACTTCGAGAAAGCGGTCGCCCTGGACCCGAATTTCCTCGACGCCTACATCAATCTCGGCAACGTACTGAAGGAAGCTCGTATCTTCGACAGGTTTGTCTTTACACTTAGTAATAATAATAGTAGTAAACTAGTGGGTGATATTAATACAGCCCTTAAAGTCACGTGGATCTGAAAAGTTCTTCCGTGACTCTCCGCTTTTGCCTCAAAGCTAAATTGGCTTAGACTAGGTCTGTTTAACCAGGCCATATAGGCTGCTCGCCTTCACCTTATTCGGATCATTGGGTTCGGAGAGAACGTCTGATCCCGAGATCTGTATCTTTTCAACGCCCCAGGACAGCGATACAAAATGTGAATGCTGTCTTTGGGTTAATTTCTCAGGAATTCTTCTGATATTTATTTTTTTTTTCTATAATCCCGTGAGTAATTATTAAAATGAATTCTCTGTAACCTTTTATTCACTGTGTTGCTCTCCGGATATATTGTTACATACATGTTAACATAAATTACACGTTAACGCGTTATTTAATGAATAAAACGTGACTTATAACGCAACGTGGGGATCACCGGTGAGTCATGTCACGTGGGTTACAAGTCCCGTAAGATTGATGTAGCACGCAACGTGCTAAAGAATCGCGCGGTGGCGGTCTGGCATAGGTCGAGCGAGCGCGAGTCACAATGCGAAGGAACCTTCCACGCGCTTGGTTCGAATCCCGCTTACTTCCTTAACTTCGTGAAATATTTTTCTCGTATGACGTACGACTTCGGAGCTTCTCGAACGGTATGCGGATTTATATACGAGATGCGCGGGGAAAAAATTGCAAGCACAGTTACACATCAGCCGGTGTCTTGAAATTATCTGTCATCGGTCATATGCGTCTGTGCGAGATCAAAGTGACTTTATAGTTATTCGCCGATGCGTCGCACACAGTGGTCATCAGCGTCAGTCAAGGGTCACACAATTTCTCTCTGTCATTTTTCACGAGACGCGCATAATTATCGCTTCACCGGATGCTCTTTTACTATGAACGCAGAAAGTACAAAGACGCGCCTTGAATCTCGAAGTAACAGGAATATGAGATTTAACGCCGAGGCGCGAAATTCCCAATTAATGGAAGAAGAAGGCCGGACGCGTTCTCGCTGTGCACCCACAAAAGCGGACACTGCGCATGAGCTTAGTCGGGGATCGATATTCATGTAACGTCCTTTTCAAGTTCATCGTCCTCCGCATCTGGAGGAGAATTCCGACAATGCGCCGTTTCACCGGCCGATTTTTCGCGAATGCATAGTAACGGGGACGTCAAATATTATTTGTACGCACACACATTTGGCAGATTAAAAGTTACAATTTTGTTTCGACGATGAGTCCTGTGACTAGTGAGAGAACTCGTCTTTCATCAGGACCCCGGGGAAAGTCCTGTCGTTTTTTCCTCCACTGTGGCGTTGTGTTCGCCAGCAGAAGTCCTATTCTTGAATCACGCGAGTGTTATCAGTATGTTGAGCAGCTGTTGCGCCCCACAGGTGCAACGAATCATACAGTGGACGATAAGACACGCAGGAGAAGGTGTCAAACATGGTGTTCGATGAAATGAAAATTCAATGTGCGTTACTGTATATGTTTAAGTCCGGCAGAAAAGCGACGAAGGCGATCCTTAANGGGGGGGGGGGGGGTGCAAATCCATCAAATGATCACAAAGCCCGGTTCTGGTTTGGGAAATTTCGTGCTGGAGATGAGACATTCGAAGATACGTCCTTGCTTCGTTCGAAACATTGCAGCGTTTGATTCACTTTGAACTGATGGACTGAAGGTCAAACCATCATTGCTGACGTAGAACACGCGGAAAAACTCGCAATAAAGCAGTAACATCTATCGTGAAAACAAAAGGGCTTTTTCTACTCATGAATAACGCTCGCCATGTCACCCGACAGACAGTCACAAAGTTGAACTGGGAGGTTTTGCCTCACCGTAGCATTTTCCCTCTGACCAGCATGTTTTCCCAACAGATTATCTTCTATTCTGAAATGTGAGGGGGCGGGGGGTGCGATTGGAAAAAGACGTGTTAGCGACATTACCTCATAGGTGGCGTGGAAAACTATTGAAAACAAGTATTCACACGATTAAAATAAATTTAATCAGAGATATAGTATCTTTTTCACGAAAAGGTCCACAAGTCTTCTGATTTTCCTCCCTTCCGCGGCCCTCACGATATACGCTGATCACGTTTTTGAGCGGCTTGTAGACGAGGTAAGGGGAACAAGGCGGGGCGGAAACTTCCGAAAATCGGTTGGGAAGTGCATTGCTGGATTATAACGATTTTAACCTTGCGTGTGTTATGCGTGTGTATATGCGCAAAGTTAAAAGAATCGTCTAATTTTCGACACAAAGAATGATATTCAATTTACGACGAGACATTTTTCGCCGACTTCTTCCTCTTTATTACATTCCCGGCGCCGGCGTTTCTATTTTCGTCGATCCCACGCTCTCCAGCCTTGGCGGATATCCATACATTTACATGCCGTTATTCCTAGGATTCCCGTCCATCGGCCTGGGTCGTCGTCACACTCAAACGAGTCCTTGCTTTCAAGGATTCACCGCGAATTGTAAAAGCCGCTCCCACGCGTTCGTCCGCTCGTCGTTGTTGCCCGCTCGGCTACAATGTACTTCAGCGCCGGTCGGTCTATCGATCCCCCAATAAAATTCGTCTATATGACCGTCGAGGGGTAGAAATCATCGCGCTTTTCGCAATATTATCTCAACGTCGATCGACGTCAGCCGCGAGCGTGCCGCTTATACCCGTCCTTTCCCACGTCCTTTCGATACCAACCCCCGATTGATGGGGGGGGGGGGATGAAAAATGTTTCACGAGCCGGGTCGGGATAATCGCGGCGCGCAATAAGATGAAAAAGTCGCGCAATAAAAATAAAAAAAAAAGAGCACACAACATGTCGGGGCTTATTTTGATATTTTCAATTTCCTTTATATTTACCTTTTTTTTATCGTTCCGCGCGCGAGGGCGCTTTAGTGACGATGCGTGTATATACAATGTAATGGAAATAGTTCAAAGTGAAAGGCGAAAGCGGCCCCATAAAAACGCCATCGCCGCCGGCATCGATCAATCCGTGAGGCCGATAATGAAACGCGTTTCCCTACGGCGGCCGCCGCCGGGTGTGTTCCCTCACGCACAAAGTGGGAGGAATTCGAGGACAGCTATCGATTCCAGAAGCCGCTCCGCCCTCATGGAGGGAGTCCTTTTTGCCCCTCCTCCCCTCTCCCACCCGTCCGTTGTGTAGGAGGATACGCGTGCTCGTTCACGGCTTTCGCGAAAAAGCAGAAACTTCGCTCGTCGTCCGCGAGCTTAAGCGGCTTTCCTCGGACTGCCAGCGCCACGAGCTGTTCTTTAGCAGCCGCATCGCAGGACCCGCGCGTCACCGCCGTCGAAGGACCCCCTCCCCGTGTGTGTGTGTGTTATTAGAATCCTGCCGCCTCTCCGATACCTCTCGGCCGCCTCAGGATAAAGTGGATCCTCGGATCCACGTGGATTCGGGGATCGGTGTGGTATACGGAAGGGATTCGTGCCTGTGTAACTCTCTCTCTCTCTCTCTCTCTCTCTCTCTCCTTCCTTTCCCTCCTCCCCCAGGACTCCCCGCAATCCTTGGTAGGTTCGAGACCGACACGCGTCCGAAGTCTCGCGTATCCTCGCGGATCGTTCTTGCTTCGTGCGTATTTTCGCGTTTTCCGTCCACGGGTTATGAAGGAGATCCTCCGGAAATCCGAGAATCGCGGGATCAATTAATCCTGGAAGGATTGGTCGGATTAACCACGATGACGGGCTTTTGCGTAGTCGTGGGAAGGGCGGCCTCAGGGTTAACGGAGAAGCCGAGCTGCCGTTTCTAGCGTGTCGTTCGAGAGAAACACGCGAGTAATCCGCGAGACTCCTCCTCGCGTCTCAGTTCCCGAGGACTCGTCCATCCGGAGACCGAGCCGCGTGGGTACTTGGTTCCACGCAGCCGGGCCCTCGGGATCCGCAGATCCATTATCGCCGGGATGGGGAAGGAATGGACTGCCAGTGCGTGGTCGTCTATACGGTGATCTCGCCCTCGACTACCATCGCGCCCGCGCTTCGCGTTCAGATTGAGGACACCGTCGAGCGACCCGCCACCCCTGGATGCGTCTCCTGGATCAGGCGCTACATTAAAAGGTTTATCATACTCGTGATTCTGTCCGTGTGAGAGGATCCCCCCTCCCCGTAGAGGAGGCTTTTCTCCACCGGGTTCAATCGCTCGCTCAGTTGTCTCGTCTCTCAGAGTTTTAAGCTGCGGCTGAATGTGAATTTTCTCATTCCGAGGCATCGTTCCTCGTCACTGAATTTTTATCTGGCCATTCCTTCATTCATTCGCACAAACTGGGTCTCTCTTTTCCACGTATACGCTGCATCACGTATGCCTTTACCATTATAACTCCTGTTAAGCGGGGTCTACAATGAGGATTTAAGCTCTGAGCCTTGAAAAAATCGACCAATCACAATTCATTATTCTTCCATAACTCGATTGTGATTGGTCAATTTTCTTAAGGCTTAGAGCTTGAAGCATCTATTGTAGACCGGGATTTAAGCGGGGTCTATAAATGAGAATTTAAGCTTTTAAGCTTTAAGAAATTGACCAATCACAGTTGTTTGTGAGCGAATGCACTCAATTCTTCGAGTGTACCGCTCCGGCTGGATCTGGCCAGCGCAGGGCACGGAATGCAGTGAAGGATCGGCGTCAGGAGAATTGTTTGGAACTCGGGTTTAGTTGAGGCAATGGTTTATTCAGTCATTGAGACAGAATGGCGATCTGGCCCTTACAATTCACGGCGTGAGGAGACGTTCTCGGCTTGTCGAACAAACGTGTTCAGCGCTCGCGTTAACGGCCCTCCTGGGCTTCCGCAAGTACGGAGGTCTTCGCAGCTCTTAAAGATGGTAAAGTCTCCTCTTCTTCTCACTCGTCAAGCGCAATCACCATTGTTGGACGTAGCACAATTATAAATTAACGACGTTAACAATGAAATGATTAAATTGAAGACCGGACGATATCGCGAGGTAGTCGCGACGACGCGGATGATATAACGCAACACGATGAATTGAGAAAGTGAGGCTTGATTTCTCGCACGGAGGGTAATCGAAACCGTAGCGAGCCGAGATACGCGAATAATTAGAATCGACTAACTTGTTCTAATTTCTATGTGCTCACTTCACTTCTGAACTCGAACTTCTCTGATCTCTGATTTCGTATTTTTCCGATCTCGCGGTCTGATCTCTCTGATTTTCCCGATCTTTGAATATTCTCTGAACCGTCGCGCCCAAAGCACCCAGTTTTATACCGTTATTGCCAAGCAGAACGAGCGGATTGGTTATCCTTCGATCGGATGAAGCTTTAGATAATGTCCAAATATAGTAATGTTTTGATCTAAATCGATGAGTCTTATTATTATTTCGATGCTTATGATTAGGTGTTCTTAGATCAGAACACGTGATTATAGACCAACACGTGTTTAGTGTTTACCCATTTTTGTATCGGGGGTCTTCTTTTGTTATCGGTTGGCAATCCGCGTGTTATTGTGTCGAGATAGCAACTCGATTCCCGCATCATGCTCGCATGTTATGAATATGATAAATTTCACTCTTTCTGTTGACACGCAAGTTAGAATTTTGTATAACAGTCGATTATTCCCCTTACATTCGACCGTGATTGGCCAATTTCTTAAGGATTATAGCTTAAAGCACCTATTGTAGACCCGGGACTCACGTAAGCAGTTCGATTTTACGCGTATATGGCGTGCGAGGCGAAAAATCGTGCGACTTGATCCAAGGGATGACGAGGCATACTTGACTCAGTGTGTACGATCGAATCTCCATGGCGATTCAAATATATGTATATTTTCCGCAGATAAGGGGAAAAATTGTTTACTTGTTAATATTCATTGATATTTAATTCTTTCGCTCACCCGAGTCTTCCCTGTCGGGAGGAACGATCGGCAATGAACAATCATTCTCGAATTGTCGACTTGTTACAGAGCTGTAGCGGCTTACCTGCGTGCATTGAATCTCAGCCCCAACAATGCGGTCGTCCACGGAAATTTGGCGTGCGTTTATTACGAGCAAGGGTGAGTAAATGATTCTGCGTGCCACGTTTTTGCACGATTCAAGAAGAATTTTGCAGCTTAGTCTGGCATTTTCAAAAAATAGTGTATGATGGATATTTGGTCGTATGCTGCTTTCTCGTAAGACGATGTATTCGTAGACATTTCAATTTCGGACATCTCATTATACAACATGCTGCACTATTTATAATTTATCGTTTTATTGGCTGCATAACATGATGAAAATAAACTAAGATGAAGAAAATGAAGAGCGAAGCTCGGACAAAGTATTCAAAGTCTGTAACGGTGGGCAATATTTATAGTCGGATCTTATATAAATAAGATCTCTCCTCGACCTGTCGGGCGAACCTTTCATTGTTCATTAGCATAGCCGTAGAATGGATCTGAGAAACTCTTATCTTTTAATTCAACGCAAAATAAAAGTCCTTCAGATACGGGGATTCATTGAATTTGAAAGTGTCAAGAAGATAATTGATACACCGTAAACAGGATTGGAGCGTCAATTATTTTGCATCATCCGTAATGTTACAGGCTTATCGACTTGGCTATCGACACATATCGACGTGCTATCGAGCTACAGCCCAACTTCCCGGATGCATACTGCAATTTGGCGAACGCTCTCAAAGAAAAGGGCCAAGTGGTTGAAGCGGAAGAATGTTACAATACCGCCCTCCGACTCTGCCCTACACATGCCGATTCTCTCAATAACTTGGTGCGAGATCACGCTTTTGCATACTTTAGGGTAACCTTCGCCGGAATTCGATTGATATAATTGTCAATTAGATCAATCAAAGCTTGATGAAAATCACCCTCAACGTGGGAAATATTGATCGAATATCGCGAACGATACGTGCATTTTGTTTATATTTCTCCCATATTATTATCATGTTATTTAATCTTTTAATATTCTAAGAACATGTCTATGATATGCCAAGAATATTATGCGAGGTGAACAGAAAAACATCGATAGAACCTGTAATATGAGAAAATATTACATAACATTCTTAGAATATCATTTTAATATATTGAATAACATTCGTATAATATTCTAGGAATATTACGTGCTTATAGGTATTAATCTTTTTTCCTTCCACCCTCAGGCCAACATAAAACGCGAGCAAGGCTTCATCGAGGAGGCAACTCGTCTGTATCTTAAGGCTCTGGAGGTATTTCCGGAATTCGCGGCCGCCCACAGCAATCTCGCCTCTGTTCTGCAACAACAGGGCAAGCTGAACGAGGCGCTGATGCATTATAAAGAGGCAATTCGCATACAGCCGACTTTCGCCGACGCTTACTCAAATATGGGCAATACGTTGAAAGAAATGCAGGACATCCAAGGCGCTTTGCAGTGCTACACGAGAGCGATACAGATCAATCCGGCGTTCGCCGACGCTCATTCCAATTTGGCATCGATCCACAAGGATTCCGGCAACATTCCCGAAGCGATTCAGTCCTACCGAACCGCGCTCAAGCTGAAGCCGGACTTTCCGGACGCCTATTGCAATCTGGCGCATTGTCTGCAGATAGTGTGCGACTGGACCGACTACGAGGCAAGAATGAAGAAGCTGGTGTCCATAGTTGCCGAACAGCTGGACAAGAATAGGCTGCCTAGCGTGCATCCGCATCATTCCATGCTCTATCCGTTGTCGCACGAATTCAGGAAGGCGATCGCCGCCAGGCACGCAAATCTCTGCATCGAGAAGGTACATTTTACATTTCCACAAAGTCCCCCGTGATAACAATATCACCGAGAAAATTATCTAGATAAGTAGCGCCTACCCTACCTCATCTTGAACACGCTGAACGAATTGCAGATCCACGTTCTTCACAAACAACCGTACAAGTATCCACGAGCGATCAGCGCACGGCTAAAGATCGGTTACGTCTCGTCCGATTTCGGCAATCACCCGACCAGCCACCTGATGCAATCGATCCCCGGTCTGCACGATCGCGAGAAAGTCGAGATATTCTGCTACGCCCTCAGCAGCGACGACGGCACGACCTTCCGCGCAAAGATCGCGCGCGAGGCGGAGCACTTCGTCGACCTGTCGCAGGTCGCGTGCAACGGCAAAGCCGCCGACCGCATCAACGCGGATGGCATCCACATTCTCGTGAATATGAACGGCTACACGAAGGGCGCCAGAAACGAGATATTCGCGCTCAGACCAGCCCCGGTGCAGGTCATGTGGCTGGGTTATCCCGGCACCTCCGGCGCCAGTTTCATGGATTATCTCATCACGGACGAGGTCACATCGCCGTTGGAACTCGCCAGTCAGTACAGCGAGAAGCTCGCTTACATGCCGCACACCTACTTCATCGGGGACCACAAGTACGCACGTTTCTTTCGTAAAGATCCTTTGAAACGGAGTGAAAGGATTTGAAAATACTTGAAAGGGGATTAGGCAATCCGTGACTTCGCGAAGACCTTTCGTATCGCGCGAGAGAAAACATTTTTACCGCGGCTTTTATGAAATCTTGAGTAATTGGAGAAGGCCAGTAAGAGCTGTGACGATTGTTGCCGATTAATTGCAGAAATTAAAAAAATTGTCCTTTTTTTCCAGGCAAATGTTCCCTCATCTCAAGGAACGTTTGATCCTGACGGACAAGTTGAACCAGAAAGGCAAGGTGGCGGACAACGTGGCAGTGATCAATGCCACCGATCTGTCCCCGATGATTGAGAACACCCTGGTGAAGGAAATACGCGAGGTCGTCGTGCCGGACGCCAAGAACAAACCGGTCGAGATCTCTTTGAAGGTCGCGGAGTTACCGACCACCACTCCGATCGAGACGATGATCGCTTCCGGGCAGTGTCAAATGTCCGTGAACGGCGTCGTCGTGCAAAACGGCATGGCCACCACCCAGGTGAACAACAAGACCGCTACCGGCGAAGAGGTGCCGCAGAATATCGTCATTACGACCAGGCAGCAGTACGGTTTGCCCGAGGACGCCGTTGTGTACTGCAACTTCAATCAGTTGTACAAGATCGACCCGCTCACTCTTCACATGTGGGCACATGTGAGTAGCCGATCGCAGATTCTCGTTAACCCTCTTCGGTCGTCGACTAAAGCCGACAGCCACGAAAAGGCGTACATTCGAGCGATTGTTATATTATATTTATACATGTAAACTCAGGGGCTCGGATCGGAACTGGAACCGAAAACCGTACGGAAACCGGTATTTTCCGAAAACATCCACGGACAATTTCGAAAAAAGAGGTGGATCAAAAGTGGTTTTAGGGTAGAGGGGGAGGGTTATCGCGGTTTTAGCGTCAAGGCTTATTGTATAAATTAAATCTCGCGTGTTATAATTTTCCGACTTTCCGACTGAGAAGTAATTTGTGAAATAAACTCCCGTTGCATCGCGCGATCAACGTCCGGCCGATTGAATTTCAGATTTTGAAACATGTGCCAAACTCCGTGCTGTGGTTACTTCGTTTCCCGGCGGTCGGCGAGCCGAATCTCCAGGCGACCGCGCAGCAACTGGGTCTCGTACCCGGGAGGATCCTGTTCAGCAACGTCGCCGCCAAGGAGGAACACGTTAGACGAGGCCAATTGGCTGACGTATGTTTAGACACGCCGCTCTGCAACGGACATACGACCAGTATGGACGTGTTGTGGACCGGCACGCCGGTGGTCACACTGCCAGGCGAGACTTTGGCCTCTCGCGTCGCCGCTAGTCAATTGAATACGCTCGGCTGTCCCGAACTGGTGGCGCGTACGCGCCAAGAGTACCAGGAGATCGCGATCAGGCTCGGCACCGATAGAGAATAGTAAGTTACTTCGACGTTCCCGCTACGTTGAACTTGATACGGGATATACTGAATTCTCGCATTCGCTGAATCCTCGAATCTGAAATTCCGGTGGAAAAGAATATTCAAACTCTCGTGGTTTCTCGCGCTCGGGACCAAATCCTAGTCTACGATAGGTGCTTTAAGCCGTAAGAATTGAATAATCAATTGTGATTGGTCGATTTCTTGAGGCTTGGAGCTTAAAGGCTATTGTTAACTAGGACTGGAAGAATAATTGGCGACATAATTAATGTGGGCTTTTTTCCAGCTTAAAAGCCACCCGAGCCAAGGTATGGAAGGCCCGATCGGACAGTCCGCTATTCAATTGCAAGTTATACGCGATGGGTATGGAGCTGCTGTACACGAAGATGTGGGAGCGTTACTCGCACGGGGAAAGCCCCGACCACGTGTCGGCCGTCGACAAGAACGACAGCCAGATGTCGTCGGGCATGTCCTAAACGGCTTTTACTTTTACGACACGCCTCACGATCACTTCACTCAGCTTCGACTCTCTGCGATTAACGATTTCTCTCCCCCGAAAACTTGAGCATTTACAAGCAATCATGGGTAATATATCTTACTCCCGCACTCGAGGACCTCGTATTAAATTTTCCGTATCACCGCCAACTGCTGTTTTTTTACGATAAATTCATGGAGTTTAGAATAGACAGTAGACGTTAATATATACCGCAATATACAAGTCCGAATACGCGCGAAACGTTAAAGAAAAAGTCGCGGGTTAATTTTTTGCGCACGATAATCCGAACAGTGCTCTCCTCTATTGTTCTTGTGACGTGTGATTGTTTTTCTTTTTATTTTTTTTTTTCAACGTGATATTTTCTCTTCCTTCTTTTAAACATTTATTTCTTCCGATCGAGTCGAATTTTTAGCGAAAAGCTTGAAAGAAGAATATGGAGACACGCACGATCTTATCCGGGAACACGAGAAATTTAGACAAGGCTTTGGAAAGTTCAAGAACGCAAAGACAATAGTGGGGAGGAGGTTCGAATGATGTTGATTGAATTGTACAGGGAGAACGATATGTTCCGTTTTTCTTTAAATTCCCGCAGATGGTTGTTGCTTTTTCGCAGAAATGTGATCTCATATTGTATCTGTGGAACGAAGTTTACTTGTCGATAGATTCTCGTATATCTTTTCGAGAAACGAAGGAGGAGGGAGGCTCCGATGCTCCAAAAACACTATGAATTTTCGAGTGCTAGAAAACTCGAGGATGAAAAGAAATTCGAGAAATTTGAAGAAAAATAAAAACAGAGATGTACGCAATTATATTTTATGCGAGAATTTCTTTTTCCGTAGGATTTAATTTCACGCGAAATTCGCCGTAAGTTTAATTTTTTTTTTTTGCGATTGAGAGTCCATTGTACATTTTGCTTGTTATTTCACTCGTATCGATTTGACGAAAAAAAAAAAGACAAGAGAAAACTCGTCGTATCGAGACATCCATCTTCGCTTTCTATAGACGATCCTTTAATATGTGGAGGTGCATCCCCGTACACACACACACACACGCGCGCGCGTGCGCAATTTACCGAGAAGAATACAAGGACACGTAACAAAGATTAGTGGTTAATCAAGTTCCTTATATTCTATACCGTTTCACTTTCATACATCGCGAAAAGGTTAAAAGGCCGCAGGCTGGGAAGTGGATTGTTTCAGAAATCTGAGACCTTTAGGATCTAACAATCTGATGCTTCTTCAAATGAACAATCCCAAAGAGAGAGAGGGAATTTGGAAGTTCAAAGATCTTAGAAGACAAATATCCCGACAGAGTTTTAAAAGTAAAAACCAGAGATACAAAGAGACAGGGGACGCGACGAAAATCTTCAAAATCCCGTAAATCGCTTGAAATTTCAACAATTTTCAAAAGCTTGTGAAGGTTAAAGTGCCAAGGATCCGAGTTTTTTGCACGTGTGTTATATCTAAGGTATCCAAAAAAAAAACTCGATCGATAGTGATCTCGAGGAAGTGTGGAAACCTGAAAATCACGGAAGCCGGAAGAGCTTAGAAACTTTTAGGAAGGTCGATCTGAAAGGAAAGGATCCAGGGATTTTGGTAGGCGAAAGTGTCCTAATAGTTGTTTTTCCGAGATCCTAAGGAGGATTCTGATCGGGGAGCGAGATGTGTTGTTTAGCAGCCGCGGACAGCGATTCACGCAATTGTATTATATCGAGCGACTAATATATATACACACATATATGTATGTATATATATATATACATACGCACACGCACATATATATATATATATATATATATATGTGCGTGTGTGTGTGTGTGGTATGATGTACGTGTAAATATTAAGGATAATTGTTAGAGTTATTTGCGTTTAGATCGATTGATGAAAGACGGCGCGCGATTTGCGATGTTGCGACAAGAGAGTAAAAGCGGTAGCTGAGAGAGAGAGAGAGAGAGAGAGAGAAAGATAATAATTGTAGCGCACTGATATGATATGTGTACGTCCTAGAGAATAAAGTATGATAAAAACCGATAAACCGATCTTTCAACGGTGTGTCCCGGTTGCATTCTGATTGCATCCTGTGATCTGAAGCGATTTAGTTCGTCGATCGATGTACACCCTACGTACGGAAAAAAGAAAAAAAAACAAAGAAACATCAGCAGGACCCTTGCGAGGGG